GGGGAAATTGGGGGGGGGGGGGATGCAGGTCAGAATACGGCCACACAGCCAATAGTGGGAAATTTAGCAGTACAACTGGGGGAAACGGGAGACCAAGGACGGAACAACTGCTTTTGCGGCATCTGTATATATATTTCAAAGACTCCTTGATAAGTAAGACTAGGTGAGTAATCATGTTATTGCAACTAACAGAGTTATATCCTAGATAGATATTGGCCATAGGATAATACCAACTGCATCAGAATCCATTTTGAAAAGTATTAGATGTTGCACAAATCTTAAAAATTCATACTATTTTTACATATGAGGAGGAAATGGTATATCACCATTTATAAGACTATTGGAACAATTATTATAAAGATATATCATGTATTTGCAATTTCAATAACAAATATATGTTATTCATCAGTGTGTGAACTTAATTTCCATAGGGCAGGGTGATCCCCAGAGAGCAATCCTTAGCAGGTCTATTCAGTATTGTCCTCAAGTCTATTCAGTGGGACTTGCTTCCACAAAAGTTATTTTTAGGATTGTAGCTGTAGTTTTTTCCAGCCTTAGGATTCTGGAAAGCACTCAGGGTGCCTATTCATAATCAATGATAAATAGGCATTTGGAAACTTCTGGCATACTATAATAGTATAAGCTTTTCAGAAATTGAATTCCATCTTTCAGGACATATGGCCCATTATTTTGTACAAGTCCTTGTCCTTATGATTAGATTACATGTGCATGGCCATTAAATGAGCTGCCCTGTTGCTGAAAGGCTAAAAGGCTTTATTGGCTTGGGGCCTTGACATCTGGTTGAAAACCTATCCAAGGGTCAGAAGCTAGCAGTAATTTGGCAAAACTAATTTTTGAAGCTTGACAAACTCCTTTCATTCAGCTGAGTTCCTTATAGATTTCACCATGGGAGTGATTTAAAACACACACAAAACAAAACAGTACTTTGCACCCACCCTTAGAGGAAAGCAAATAAATGACATCCTGTGAAAATTGCCGTAGCAGTTCTAACTAAAACAATGTCTAACTGGTCCCGCCTTTATTATTTCTTTAGGAACGCAGAATATTTTTTATTCAGGAATACAAGAAAACCAACAAAGTGGAGTCAAGTACATGCAGCAGCTTCATGGGCTTGAAGGATCACTTGGGGCATGACCTAGGCCACCTCTATGAGGACAGTGCTGAAACACAGATAAGTGCAATTGCACCTTGGTCAATGGTGGAGAAACCAACAATGGATAAAATTAACTCTAGGAAGGAGGACACAAACAAGGAGACTTCTGAAGAAACTGGGAGCTCCAGTTGTGATTCTGACGAGAGTACAAATTCTGATAATGAATCAGAGCAACTGACTACCACGGGAACAGAATCATGCACGTTACCGAAGACTCACAGACAACTGTGCAGATCTCCTTGCCTGGAACCCCATATACTAAAACGCAATGAAATCTTGCAAGACCTTAAGCTAGAGGAAGCCCGTATGGTGTCTAAAGAAATTAAGAAACCCCCTGATGTGGTAAAAGAATATCAAACCAAACTGGAGTTTGCACTTAAGTTAGGTTACTCTGAAGAACAGGTTCAGCTTGTACTGAATAAGCTTGGTACTGATGCTTTAATCAATGATATACTTGGAGAACTTGTCAAACTTGGAAATAAAACTGAGATGGATCAGAGTGTAAGTAACATTAATACTAGCATAATGCGGGAAGCATCTTCTGTTGAATCTCAGAGGTCTGACTCTCCCCTTCAGGAGGATGTGCCAGTGGATGGTGATAACCTGAGACCTATAGTTATTGATGGCAGCAATGTGGCAATGAGGTATGTTACAGAAGAATGGTGTTCCTTACATGCTGGGAATTAAATGGTAATCAGTTAAAGGGCAAAGCTTATGTATATACCCTAGTATAACTCATGTACATAATTGTCATTTGATCCACTTGCCTAACAACCAAACACTGAACAGTAAGCACATACTTGTATTACTAAACTGATCAAAATATACCCTACTTCATGAAGTGACACAGTGGAACTTGTCACAAAAATTCCAAGGACAAAACCATTGGAAATAGGTGGAGAAATGTTTTAATCCTGTCGACCTCGGTGCTATAACATTAACTAAAGACTGATGCTGAGCACACTTACAGATGCACAGAAAACTCATCGAATGATAAACGTATTCCCAAATTTACAGACCACTTTCAAGGGAATACTAAAAAAATCCTCACTTTATTGTAGGAGATTAATCCTGTGCATGTTTGAAATCATGATGATGGTGATGATGATGATATGATAGTCTGTTTTGTACTTGGCATAAAAATGCCTAAAGTATCAAGAGGTTCCAAAGACTTTCACAACAAGGAGACTTATAGGTGCCTTACATTGATAAGACACTCATTTCTTAGTGGAACTTGGCAATCACTCTAAGTTGAGTATAGCAGCTGACCCTTAGACACATAAGCATTGGTAGATGGTTTGCATTCCCTTTCGAGAACTCATGAAGGGATGCCTCACTTTCAGCTGTGCACTGTTCTCTGTAATTGTTCTCTGATTTTATATATACATAAACTTTATATGTATATAAATATATATATACATTTATTCAGTCAGTCATTCCCAGGAAACCTCACTTTTTAAGATTATTCTGTTAGAAATCCCCAATATATTTAATGTGCTTTTTGCTGCTCCAGTTTTACTACCCACCAAGATGGGAGGGAAAATATTCTCCAGTATAAATTTACCAAATTCACATTGGACTGAACAGCACTTTGGTTTTTTTTCCTGGGAAGCTACAAGTACCCATGCTCTGATGCAATGTGCTCCTTGCCAGGAGGAAAAGCAGCAAAGAGAAGCAGTTGTTAGTATCTCCATCTCAACTGCAGAAGCCGGTCCTCTTGGAAATGCATTATAGCCCAAGAATCTTTCAGTGCCACTGTAAAATCTTTCTGTTCTCAAACTGGGATTTCAAACTTAACTGGTTAGATAAGGGAGTTTGCAGCGCCTTTAATGTTTTCAAGTTATTTAATTAGATTATTTGAATTGTAAATGGGATATATGTTTCTGTATTTATTTAAAGAGTTGTTCATTTATGTACAGATGCTATGTTTAAAACCGTACAGCCTTGAAATATCACAGCATGTACTACAAAAAAGGAACTGTTATACAAATCAATGGTTTTAAAAAAAAGAATCCAAAAAGTGTTTCCAGTTATTAATGCATATATTTAAAGAAACTTGCAACAGGGTACAATGTTATATAAAACATAATAGTACATATAAAAAACCTGAAACCAATAAGCCACCCTGAAATACATAATTCATGATCATTTAGTGTATCCATCTGGGAAAATTTCTGGCTTAAAAACAGCTTTTTTTAAAAAAAAAAATCTGCTGTACAGTGGTGCCAAAATGCGAGCAATGGGCCTTCCTGACATCCTGTGGAAGGCCATTCCATAACAACAGTACCACAGCAAGTAAAGTTTGGCTCAGTGCCCAGACTTGTCTGCAAATTGGGACCTGAAATAGGCCTTTAGTGGAGGAGCACAGGAGCAGACCTGTGAGGGGCACTCTTGCAAGCAGTGAAAGGCTTTATGGGTAATAACCAAGGCCTTGAAGTGAGTCTGGGAACAGGTGGACAGCCATTGCAATGCCTTCAGAATTGGCGTGAGGCTTATGTTCCAGCAGGCGGCTGCATTCTGTACTTGCTTGAAGCTTCCAGGTAGGCCCAATATAGGACGTTAGAGTAGTCCACCCTTAAAGTCAGCGCGATATGAATCACTGTCGCCCGATCAGCCTAAATCCAACTAGGAGGCTGAAATGTGCTCCTGGCCACCTACCCTTCTGATCTGTTTTTTCCATCAAGAGGGTAGGATCCAGCTTCAGTTCCAGGCCCCTAACAGAGTTTGCAAATGTTATTGTTGTATAGGCCTTAAGGATGAGGTAGCTTTGATATGGATTGGTAAGTTGTGGTTTGCACTAAACATGATTTGGCGTGAAATCTGAACTGAAAAATCTTAGTCAAAGCTAGTGTTCCACTTCTTGAGGTAGCTGCACCACAGAACTGGAAGCACAGAATATATGGAAAACAAGGAGCTCTTGACCATGGTTTGGATGTTCAGACCACGGTTTGTGTTTAAAACTATGTTTAGCACAAGCCTTGGCTTTTCATGCTATCTGGAGTCAATAGGAAAGATTAGTCTGAAGCAGAAGGATTGGAATTCTTTTCTGTGCCATAGAAACAGATTGGAACTCAGTGTCAGTTTTATGAGACATAAAACCAATATTGTCTCTGTCAATTTGGTATATAAAATCTTGACCAGCATTTTACAACTGAATGCTGGTATAGTAAAGTTATTTCAGCTGGTATAGGGGTAGGAGCCCTTTTATTTCACTGACAAAGGTTGATGTGTGCATTCACTTCCGATATTTAATTTACTCTGAAATACCTTTAGTGCTACAGAATATCTGCTATTACTTTGGACAATCTTATGATATATGAAATACCTTGCAATTCAGTTACTCACCCTCTTTTACACTTTGCACAGAACTGCATCCAAGGGTACTAAAAGAACTTGTGGATGTAATTTCTGAGCCTCTGTCTATTATTTTTGAGAATTCTTGGAGAACAGGTGAGGTGCCAGAAGATTGGATGGCAAGGCTGCTGTTGTGTCTTTCTGTGCGGGAACACATCCAGCCCGCCCTAAAAACACTGCACTGGCTGCCTATAGCATACCGGATCCGGTTCAAGGTGCTGGTTATCAACCTTTAAAGCCCTTTATGGCCAGGGACCTGCATACCTGAGGAACCACCTTTCCCCTTATGTTCCCCCAGATAGCACTGCGGTCGGGGACCCAGAATCGGCTGATCCCCCCAAACATCAAGGAAGCCAGACTAGCGGTAACTAGGGCTAGGTCTTTCTCTGTGGCAGCTCCACTCTGGTGGAATGAGCTCCCGGAGGAGATCAGGGCCCTGCGGGACCTGTTATAGTTCTGCAGGGCCTGTAAAACGGAGCTCTTCCACCAGGCTTTTGGAGCCGCCGCCACCACTGCCACAACTGATATCTTTTTTTCCCCATAATTTTTTTATTATTTTTATAAAGATTATAACAAAAAGAAAAACTTTTCTATACACAGGTTTCTTTACCTAAAATTCTACACATAAAAACCAGTATATACAATCATGTTTTAGCCACAACTGATATCTGACAGCTTATGAAGAGCAAGCTGTACCATCTGGGTCCCACAATTACAGCTCGAGCTGACTGATCAGACATTTGAGGAATTTCAAGAAGATGACAACGATGAGTATTGAACACTAGCACTTTAATATGTTGTAATATTTATAGTTTTAAATTGTGTATTGATGGCTTTTATATTGTAGATTTTATTGTCACATTGCAGTGTTTTATAATGGTTGTGTAAACCGCCCTGAGCCGGTTCTGCTGGAAGGTCGGGGTAAAAATCTGATAAATAAATAAATGTAATTTCTGAGCCTCTGTCCAATATTTTTGAGGATTCTTGGAGAATAGGTGAGGTGCCAGAAGACTGGAGGTGGGCAAATGTTGTACCCATCTTCAAGAAGGGGAAAAAGGAGGATCTGGGTTACTACCAAACCGTCAGCTTGACATCTATACCTGGGAAAGGTTTAGAACAAATAATCAAACAGACAGTCCTTGAGCATTTAGAAAGAATAGCTGTAATTACTAAAAGCCAGCATGGGTTTCTCGAGAACAAGTCATGTCAGACTAACCTTATCTCTTTTTTTGAGAAAGGTACTGCCTTGCTGGATCAGGGGAATGCTGTAGACATAGTTTATCTTGATTTCAGTAAGGCTTTTGATAAGGTTCCACATAATATTCTTGTTGACAAATTGGAACAAATGTGGTTTGGATACTATGACTGTTAGGTGGATCTGTAACTGGTTGACAGATCACATCCAAAAAGTGCTTGTGAATGGTTCCTCATCCTCTTGGAGAGGAGTGACAAGTGGAGTGCCTCAGGGATCTGTCCTGGGACCTGTTCATTCAACATCTTTATCAGTGATTTGGATGAAGGGATAGAGGGAATGCTGATTAAATTTGCAGATGATACTAAATTGAGAGGGGTAGCGAATACAGCAGAAGACAGAATCAGGATACAGGGTGATCTTGACAGGCTGGAAAACTGGGCTAAAATAAATAAAATGAATTTCAATGAGGATAAATATAAAGTTCTACATTTAGGTTGGAAAAATCAAATGCGTAATTATAGCTTGAGGGAGACTTGTCTTGGCAGTAGTATGTGCAAAAAGGATCTAGGGGTCTTAGTAGATTAGTAGAAGAGTTTTCGGCTAAACATTAGGAAGAACTTCCTGACAATTAGAGCAGTTCCTCAGTAGAACAGGCTTCCTCAGATGGTGGTGGGCTCTCCTACTTTGGAGGTTTTCAAACAGAGGCTGGATGGCCATCTGACAGCAATGCTGATTGTGTGAATTTAGGCGGTTCATGAGAGGGAGGGTAGGAAGGGTTGCCTCAGTGCTTAGTTCTTGTGGCCCTTTTTTTCACGCCGAGAGAAATGCTGATTGCCACTTTGGGGTCAGGAAGCAGTTTTTCTCCAGGCCAATTTGGCCAGGGATCCTCGAGGTCTTTAGTAACCTTTTGGGCATGGAATGGTGGTCACTGCGGGTGTGGAGGGGGAGGTATTTGTGAATTTCCTGCATTGTGCAGGGGGTTGGACTAGATGACCCTGGAGGTCCCTTCCAACTCTATGATTCTGTGATTCATAGTTTGGTTTTGCATTGTGCAGTGTGTTTGTCTCATCTAAAAAGGACATATTCATATTTTCC